AGTTGATGCCAATTTTTCCTTCTGCAGTGTTTTGTACTTTGGCGGAGTTAGTGCCATGGTTCGCTTACCGCGCTAACCCATAGGCCATGTAACGGGCTTGGCTCACGCTAACCAAGCTTTCCTCCCATCAGAGGCAGGTAAACTCCCCGGGCTTGTCTGAGAGGATACAACAATTAACTTCTACTTTGGGTGGTCATCACAAGTCATTGTATAGGCCATACTACGTCCAATGTATCACCAGGTTTTGCATAGAAGTGGAATGCTTAGCGTATCTCAAGAAGTTATTGATCAGCGGCTAAAGCCCCCATTCTTGTGTCATTTTTTCTTTCTATCTACCTTCGCCTCGGTTCACTGAAACGCTTGGTGGTTGACCCCCCTCCCATTCCTGTCAACGAAGAGTGTCAGTTTAAATTGGTAGAGGCGGTTCTTTTCGAATCACTATTCTGTAAGGTAATCGTCTCAAGGGAGCAACCCGTACTTCTGGACAGTGAGCTTTGCATGATTCATTCCACGAGAATTGCTGTTATATTCCCCAAAATGTTCCTGTGAGGTGAGAATCAACATCACTCTCTTCAACACTGGTAGGGAAACAGCTTCCGAAACCTTTTTTGCATTTTTTACTGCAACCACTGGCTTTTTCAGAAAGTGCACGTCGCAAGAATGAATTACCTCTTCTCACAAGCTACCATGACTGATTCAGATGAGGAATTCGCAAAATTGATGAAGTCTTTCGAGCAGGTGAAAGACCACAACTTGGTAAGTTCGCTTCTATTTCTCCAGTCTTTCACAGAAATGATACTGTTTTCCCCGTAAAGCGGTGTTCCTTGATTTTTTGGTGATTAAAAACAATAGCTGTTTCAGGTTGGAGAGATTTGTTTCTCCGGTGCTGTAACATTCGAGAACTACCAGAGAATAACCAACTTGCTAATGTATGCAAAGAAGAGAGCCATCACCGGTGAGGAATTGTTTGAAAGCAGTCGAGGAGAAGTGGGCCGTAGTAATTTGTACTTTATATAGTTCCACATCAAATCGCGGTCCAAATATTATCAAACTAAAGGTTCATTTGTATACTGCTCAGAGTTCCAGATTCCGATACCATCGATCGATTGTCCCAAGCATCATACGTGTTGGCAACGTACCGTTTGATGAATGGACCTGAAAATGCGAAATTCGGCTCGGATTCACTATGGCAGAACTTTGTTGCTGGAATACTGGGAGAAGGAGAATGGCACGAGTTGTTCATTCATACGATTGAGAATGGGTATATTAAGGTGCGCAACATCTTCTCATAGATTTGAATTTTCTTTAAATAAACACATTTCATAGTTGGGCAAGGGAGTAACTTGTATAGACTCTGACGGCTCCCTCCGTCGGCAGCAGAGTTCAAAAGCACATTTGGCAGCGATCGTATGGGGAATTTACAGAAGTCCTCGCTAACTCCCTTCTCTTTCTCTCTCAGAAGCTTCAGGGGACAGATGGAATAAAGTAGTTTGTCTGAGTTGAGGCGAAACGTATCACATATATTTCCAATACCACATTTCAGTTCAATTCGTAACTCCTTAGATTCTTGAGATGAACCGGACCCCTTTCCCATGAAAGTGAAACCAAAACGAACAAACATTGCGAGGGTATGTCACCTGATCTTTTTTTATAGTCGAAAACTGCGGTAAAAGAACTGTCCACCTTGGCCTTTCTATTTCTATAGAGGTTTGCGAAAGATTTTATGGGATTTTCATCAGCATAAGGAAATATTATTGCGCGTTACTTCATTTTCCTTTTCCTCAGTAAGCGTATCGCGTGGCGGCAGCACTCCTTTAGCATAAGGAGGTGTCGAGTCAAATAGGGAGCAGTTTATTCGGCGTCCATTGATTTCACTTTGTGTGTGGCGTACAATGGATTTGTACGCCGAGATGGTGAAAGAGTGCTGTTTCCACGTACTGCCTGTCATTGGCGGCAGATATGTTGCATTGGTTAAAAAGATTCAGAACGTTCGAGTTTTCGATTGTTCGTTCTGCAGCGTTGATTTATTTGCGACCCCCTGCCTGGCGGCGCTATATGATTCCTTCCTTGTGATCCCTTAAAGATGATATACTCTGCAGGAAACGATGGGCACACACAAGTAAATTGAAGATCGTCAGCCCAAGTCAAGGACTTGTAGCATCAGACTATTTACCATATAGGTGATTAGATCTAGTCTCTGCCCTCTTCATTTTCGCTCTCTGGAATTGCCAATACTACTTTACTTTTGAAAGACAGTTAGAGCTGTGAAGTCATCCTCTAAAGCGTTCATTTACTTGCCCCATAAACAAGTCTCTGAGTCTGCCGCAACAGCCCTGCTTGTTGCTACCGCGGTCCTCATTGCCATTTGTCAAATTTCCTGATTTGAACTGTGCTCCCATATAGTACTGAGAAATTTTATTTGCGTAGTCAAGCTAATT